TGATAATACAATTTTCAATGATACACCATTAGAAAATTATAAGGATACTTCCGCACAGTCTAAACATGACTGAAAGTCGAGAACATCTACCCATATTCATACGATAATGCTTGTAAAACATGAATAACCTTCGTTGAACTGGTGACGAAAAATGATTTTTTCAAGGAGGTCAGGAGCAATTTTGAGAGTCAAAAGTGTTGGTGGAGTAGTGAATTTTTCAAAAATTCACTACTCCACCAAAACATATCCAGCCCGCGACAGACTTGGACTTTGAAGCTGTTTCTAATTCCGAGATTTTATTACCATGCTGAATGTTCCATTTTGCAACTTGTGTTATCTATTAACCTAGAACGATTGATTATACATGATTAGTGAAACTTTTTGGTATAACCAATTCGTATGATGGACTACAAACTTGCTTACAAAAAGGGCTGATTATATTGCAATTGCAACGTGGATAAAATACCTATATTTTTTCCTCATTTGGTTGGCATCCAGACAATAATTAATATTTTTACTCGAACTAGGTTAGTTTTTATTAAACTTAAGTGTAAAGCTTTTGTCTGTTCTTTTTCAAATTTTCTCCATATGGTAAAAATATTAATGTATAGAGAACGTTTCTTAGGAAATATTCCAGTAAAACACGATGATGGCCGATACGTCAAAAAAAGAGAAAATAGAAGCACACAAAAGTTCTTTTCAATTTTTTATATAAATTGTTGTTGCCGAGAGAGTAGTTTTTAAACTTACCGTCAAATTGTCTACAAGACTTCTTGATTTCTTTTTTCTTCATGTAGTTTTAGAGACAATCAAAATGCATAAAGTGATTGAATGTGTGCCAAATTTTTCCGAAGGACAACGAAAAGAAGTATTGCAATATCAAAATACCGCTGTTATATAGTATTTGTTAAAATGATATATTATAGGTTATCGATACAATTGCTCATGCCATTGCCGGTGTCGAAGGTGTCGCTTTACTAGATGTAGATCCTGGTTTATCGACAAACAGAACAGTATATAGTATGCATAGATAGACTCTAGTTAAATCATGTAATATAACACGTATGATGTTCTCCATATTTTAACAGCTTTTGTCGGTCATCCGCAAGCTGTTATTGAAGCGGCTTTAGCAGCTGCAAGAGCCGCCTACAATCTCATTGATATGAGTAAACATTCTGGTGAACATCCTCGAATTGGTGCCATGGTGAGAGTTTTTAAATATATATAAATATACATTCTTCATTCTGTTTTCAATAGGATGTTGTACCGTTTGTTCCCGTTCAAAATGCAACAATGGAAGATTGTGTAGAGATAGCCAAAGAATTTGGAGAACGTTTAGGAAGTGAATTAAATGTTCCAGTGTATCTGTATGCTGAAGCACAAGATAAAGAATATCGTCGTGATTTATCGCAAATTAGAGACGGTGAATATGAAGGGCTTTATCATAAAGTAGGTATTAAATATTATGCATAGTGTTATTTTTTTTTATAAATTATTCTGACGATAGATTCGTAAATCCGAATGGAAACCTGATTATGGTCCCGATGAATTTATTGCTAATTGGGGAGCTACATGTTGTGGTGCTCGAAAATTTCTAATCGGTTACAATGTAAATATATTGGGTACAAAAGAGCAAGCTCATCGTATTGCACTCAATGTGAGAGAACATGGTCGTAGTAAAGATGAAGTAAACTATTCACACATATCATTTTTGATTAATTATTTTCTATAATTCTATTCGTTTAGCCTGGTAAATTGATGTGTGTTCGTGGTCTTGGATGGTGGCTTGAAGAAGCAAATTTAGCTCAAGTTTCTTTGAATTTAACCGATTTTGAAGTCACAAATATTCATCAGGCATATGAACAATGTAAATAATTTTGTTTTGAAAATACGGTATAACTATAAAAATTATTTTATTCAGGCTTACTAGATGCACAAACGTTGAATATTGCCGTGTGTGGTTCACAAATTGTTGGTCTTATACCGTAAGCAATATCTATTTACTGTTTATTCTTATATTGGTGAACAAAATATACTTCCATTTATTATTATAGTTTACGTCCATTATTGATGGCTGCCGATTATTTTATTAAACAGCAAAATTTATTCATATTAGATGAAGATCAAAAGATTCGTTTAGTTATTCAACAATTAGGTTTAAATTCAATAACACCATTTAATCCTAAAGAACGAATTATTGAATATATAATACAAGCACGTGAAGGAAATGATGATGATAATCTTGTTTCAATGGAATTAAAAGATTTTATTCGTCATGTTGGCTCACGAACAATTGTTCCGGTAAATTTTTATATATATAAAAATATCTCGAGACTTTATTTAATAAATTCAATAATTTTGAATAGGGTGGTGGCAGTGTAACTGCACTAATTGCCACTTTAGGTACATCGTTAGGTTCAATGTGTTCATTGTTAACATATGGTGAGTGAAAGAAGTATACATTTGAAACTATTAAAGTGAATTTAACTTTTTGTTCTAATTATAGGAATGAGAAAATGGGAGTCACTTGAAAAAGATATGAGAATTATTATTCCTCCATTACATAGTGCAACGAAAACATTGATGAACTATATTGATAATGATACAGAAGCATTTAACGCTTATTTAACTGTACAAAAAATGGCTGAAACAAATGAAGAAGAAAAACGTTTGTAAGTAGTTAGAAAAGTATAAATCAAAATTTATAATATAGTCTCTATAATTAATATTTATTTTGTTTAAATTATTTTCATAATTTTTCATGGATATGCAAATGATTGTTTTTATTGATCTTTTTTTATAGTAAACAAATAACTCAGAATCGATGTTTGGAACGATGTATTGAAATGCCTTTAGCAATTGCAAGACATATAAACGAATTATGGCCCGTTCTCAAAAAATTAGCACCGTTATTTAATATAAGTACAAAAGCAGACTTTTTTGTAAGAGAGTTTATATTCAGTTCATATATATTAATGTATTTCAGTCATTTTTTATTTATTCAGGTTTGTATTAAATGTATGGAAACAGCTGTATTTGGTTGTTATAAAAATATTGAGGTCAATGTAGTCAATTTTCCTCAAAATGATGAATACATATTAAAGGTAAACACACACACACACACACACATATACATCGGGTGGCCTAGAATAAATGGCCTTTCTCATATTTTGCTTATAATTTTTGTTCTTTTCAATCCTTAGATCTGATTGTTTTTCCAAAAGATGTGCCGAAAAAATCTCTACAAGACTTGATCAAACTTATTTCTACAGAAAGTTAAGGAGAAAAACTAAACGAAGAATACTTAACATAATGAAACGGACCAACTTTCTAAGCTATTTTGTTTTACAAATTTTAGAATATTTTAATCTACTCTAGAAACAATGAAACAAAAGTGAAGATATTTTTGAGTACTTTGAAGTGTGATGCAGTTCACGGTTCGTCCAAATCTAAGTGAGCACTGAAAAATCTAACATTCCAAAATTCACCTCAAAATAGCCAAAATCTGCTATTGTTCGGCAGGTGAATTTATGAAGAAAGCTTTAAAGTAACGTTCATCGCTGAACCAGGCACAGCTGTCATTTCTCAGCAAAATAAAAAAAGGCCGAGCTAAAAAGGTGCTATTTTGGCTTCGTTATGCAGCATTTTCCAGGAGCTCGGAACCTACACATTCAAATAGCTGAATTTTGCAAAGCCTCGAAGAGGAGAAAATCGATATAAGCCTCAAAGATTGGTTTTGTATTTGTGCACCGAATACTGGTTGATAGAGCTTTTCAAGGGCTAACAAAATGCGTATATTCTCTTCTTTTTATCATCCAGCTTCATGAAAATGGTTGAACACAACGTTTTTTGGGCTTAGAAAGCTGGTCCGTTTCATTATGTTGAGTATTCTTCGTTTAAGTTTTCTCTTTAATTTTCTATAGAAATAAGCTTAATCAAGTCTTGTAGAGAATTTGATGGTGCATCTTTTGGGAAAACAATCAGATCTGAAGATTGAAAAGAACAGAAATTATAAGTAAAATACGAGGAGGGTCATTTTTTCTGGGCCACCCGGTATATATATGTACATATAGTTATGATGTATATTTGAGATATTTATTTTTAGGCAGCACAATTGAAACAAGAGGGTACTCAAATGTGGAAAACTGCTCAAAAAGAAGCACAAGAGCTAATTGCAGTAGTGGAAGCAAGAATAGAATAATAAAATTTCATTTTCAAATTTATTAATTGTATTGTGATATATAGATACTGTTTTCTGTGATATGTTGTTGTTTGATAAAAAAAAGACACGTTTTTACTGTTGCTGATCTTCACATATCTTCTTTGTCAGATTAGTACAATAATCTCTCTTCATATTTATTTTACAATCATTCTCTCTAGGTCGCACAACCTTTTTGTGTTGTATCTGTGTTTGTTTTTCTCCCATCTTTTATTCAAGTTGTTGTTGTTTTTGTTGTTGTACGAATAAAAAATAAATTCATCAGACTAAGAATACACAACGTGTGGCATGTAAACAAGAAAATTTACGCTTAATCTATCTCAATAATAAGCCTAGTGAATGTACTTGAGCCAAGTACTTGGGTTAAGTGATGTGGACAGTACATGTGGATTTTTCCAAGAAAATTTACTTGTTAAGTACTTGGGAAAAGTACTTGACAAGTAAAATGTACGCACTTGGTGACAGATTACAAGTAAATTTACTTCAAAAGCTTCAGTCAAATACTTATTCTATTTATCTTTATTGTGTATTTTGTACGTATTCTGCAGCCATACTCTACTTTTGTAGAGCAAATACATGCACGGCTACTAGTTTATTCAACTCAGCAGAAATATTTAAGTTTATTTTATAAGTGTATAATGATTGATACTGTGGTGTTTATGTACAAGCGGTCAATGCAAAAGAAAAGGGTGACTGGCTTGTCCATCCCAGAGAATGTCCAGTTTGTCTGGTCTTGAAAACAGAGGCAAGACTTATTCACTTACAGGTGTCTGTTTTCTGTTTTTTTCTTGTTTTGATTGGCTCCAAGATCAGAACAAGAAAGTGATAAGATCAGATCAAGATAGTCTATTTTTTCTACTTACCAGACAAACGGTAAATCTTGGTCTGGTCTTGACTTTTTTTGTATAATCTTAGTATTTTCTGAGAAACAGACTCTGTTCAAGACCAGAGCTAGGTTTTTTTCATAATTACCGTTTTATTTTGCTAAGTCACGTAGTATATAGTGACCACCAATTCTTCGATCGTTATTCTCATAAGTGATGAGTAATGTCTTAGAGATTTCTGTGCTGAACAAGAGATATCTAACGGTGAAAGGAAAAAAGCATGGTGACGTAAGTTCCCGTGAATTTCGGAGTGCTTTTTGTGGCTGTGACAAAAATTCACTTCTACATAAATTGTAACTTACAGTGAACAAAGATTTATTGTTCAAAACTTATGAACTTACTCTCTAACCACTTGCTAAGGAAGCACTGCATTTAACGTTCTTTAAATGAGGGCAAAGTTCACCACTACTGTGATGAAAATTCGCCTCATGCAACGAAATTTTTGGTGTGGGTGACGAAAATTCACACTTTGTTGACGACAGTTCCCGAGGAGTACCTCCACCCAAGAAACTTTCGTCATGTATAACCAAAGTGCGTTCGTCATAATGACGAAAGTGTGATGTGACGAAAGTGCATAATCCTGTCTAACGGCATTCCGAGTCTGATGGTTACATTGGAAGGACTCCAGAGTGTTTCTACTGATTTTTGCGCAGTATGGGCGATTAGCGAGCAGTACACCTAATTTTTGCATATATACAACAAGTTCGCTGGTCTTGATTCTTCCACCGATCAGGCGAAAAGCAGGTCCTGATCAGGAAAACAGGCAAGGACTGTTTTACTTACTGGTTTTTTAATTAATATCTTGGAGTAGTTGTTTGAAAAACTGATTTGACCTGCAATCAATATCTTCGTCATCGGTCTTCAGTTTTTTCGTTGATACCTTCATTTGGATTCTTTTTTGAGTCTTGATGTAATTAGAGATAAGCAACATAAAAGCGACACCTATCGTTGGAATTTTAAAACGATTAAGAGGATGGAAATCAGACTAAAAGCTGCGAGGTGGGATAGAGATCCCAAAAGTCAATCTCGCAGGGCCCTGATACCAATGCATCGATGTTTCACATGTTAAATAGGAAGTAAAATAGACGTTTTTAGTATTCAATTAAATCTGTTCTGCTTCATTTTTCTACTTATCATGTGATAATTTCTTATTTTTAGTTGAAACTTATTTTTATAGTTTTAAACTACATACATACACGTTTAAATAAAATCGGCTTTTAAGTCATAACCACACATGGATTCTATGATAATTGTTGGAAAGATATATTATATGTGTTTAATGTAACAGCCACTTATTTGCAGATATATATCATGTTTTTGAGAGAATAATACTTTGAACTTGTAACATTTTAGATATTACTTTATATTGATTGGTTGTATCAACAGTATTCAGAACTCTTTGGTTTTGGTGGTGATTTTCAATAAAAAGAAGGAGAAAAAATAATACTAAATTTATCTATGCTGAGAAAATAAAGTAAATTGAATAATTATAAATACCATGTTAGTGTTTATTTCTTATTGATTGATCATCTCGTACGTTTTATACCTATAGACACGAGTGAGTATGGAGGTGAGATGGAATCGCGTTTTTCAGTTTTTGTTCATTTCTCTCCTATCGATTACCGCTGCAAAATCTTACAGCAACAGAAATATTGTGAATAAGAAACTCTCCTATTTAGAGTCAAACAAAGACTAACAGTTTTTTAACATAACACAATGAGTAAAGATTCAAATAATATGTTGTGTAATTATGTTATGTCAGTGAAAAAATTCTAAACGGTAGTTGTAACTTTTAATTTAAATTCTATGAATTTAACGGGATCAAATTGTTGCTGTTATTGTGTTGTTTTTGTACGAATAAAATGTGTCAATCAAAAAACAGTTCATCTAGATTTTAGAAACTCTTTTTCATTTAAAGAAGTTCTTGATTTCTCAAATCTTCTAATGCTTTATAATAATCATTGTATAAGACAAATGCACTATGATCATAATTTTTCAATGTATTTTCAATTATTCTTCCTTTCATTATATTCAATACACTATTTGTCATGTATAATGCAAATTGTCCAGGATTATAATCACATTTTGATGAAGAAGGTAATAAAACAATATCATCTCGATCATAATCAATAAATAATTGTTTCCATGTTGTCCACCAAAATCCTTGCTGACCATCGCCATTATCTTCATTCATTTCTAGAATACAAAGATGACAGAGTATACTACATATTTCTTTCACTGGTTGATTGTCATTGTAAGAGAAAAATGGTCGAACAATAATATTGTATAACATATTCATTTTGACTTTTAGCACGGGATTTTTATCAAGAAATTGCTCAAGTTCATGTATCATTTCATTGTATGTATGCAAATAAGGATAGAGATTTTCAATGGCTAATGATTGAACGATTTGATCAATATTTAAATAATTAATTGATGATAAAATATCGAACATACCATCTTTGTCTTGAAATACATTTATATTTTCAACAAAATAATGTGGACAATGACAATGTCGAAATGTATCTTGTAAAAAACTAATCCATACTTCAAATGAATCATGATACTGTTCTAATTCGTACATTTCACATACCCACAATACACTAGTTTTTAAAAAATAATCGTATTTTAAATTGTAAAAATATTTGAATGAAAAACGTTTTACTAACGAATATAAATCACGCTCAGTAAGATTAAAACTGGCAATGATAGAGTCTTCAAACATTGAAAAATTGTAAATAAATTTATTACGTTTATTTCCACATCCAGCAAGATAAACTTTGAGATTTTCATCGGTTAAAACTGATTTTAAACGTTCATGATTCGCAACACGTTCAAAAAACCAATTTAAAATACTTGGTTTAAAGTTGAGAGAAATTACGGGATATATACGTGAGGTAGTAGAAAGATAATCATTTTTTTTATTTGAACGATACGAATTTAATGACCATAATATCGATTTGAATATATCATAATATTTTAAAACAGATAATGCTTGTTTAGCAATATCTTTCGATAGTGGTAAATTAAATGCTGGTGCTAGTAATGAACACATTTGAGGTTGACAATGGATACTTTTACGTAACAGCCACCAATAGTGCGTTGATAAATCACTGAATATTCCAACTCGAGATGACAATAATGTTAAATCAAAATTTTCTAATGAAGTTATTATACAGACGTTTAGATAATCTTGATTTAAAGTTGGTTCAGTTATTTCTATAATTTTTCCCGTGTTTGAATCAAATTCATTCATTTTCTTTGATTTGAATACCATTGATTTCATTTTAAAACCATCAACATAAACTCCATCGTTAGAGTTAGTTTCTGGTAATGATTTCAACTTATCATCTAAGTAAATTCTAACATATTGATTGCGTTGTTCCAAACATGATTCATCATCAATGGATGTAATTATCAGATATTCTGTTTCGTATTCCAGAGGACTTTTAGTATAAAATTGTTCAGATGACATCATTCTTCCAACAGAAGCGTATGAAAGAAAAGTGACTGCTGTAGTTTTTGCTTGAATGCATTTTGTATTTGTTCATTTTTTATGCTTATTAACGTAGTGTATTGAAAATATGTAAATGATGAAATTTATTGAAGGTCAGGGTCAACCAATGATTTATTTATGTTACAGAATACATACATTTCTCGCTGTCGGATCAATGAACCGTTTTTAAAGTAAGATTTTACAAATAATACTCGCATGTATAAAAGTTATTAAACGATTTGTTATACAATAGAGATCAGAAAATCCATTCTCCATTTTATCACAATCAGCTTATTATACTTAAAACGTTTATCAAGCCAGACTGATCAATTTACTAGTTTGTCAATCTTACTGTCTCGACTTTGTACGTTCTCTTGACTTTTCGAAAACAAATCAGAAATATTTTAAATAATTTCGTCGGACAATACATGGATAACTAACAAAATTCGAACCAAAACACCAATGCCATGCCGAGAGAAAATGTAGAAAGTGGCGCACACAGTAGGCACAGACCCACAAAACACATTCCGTCGAGGAACATGTTTGAGATAAATAAGGATTAATTAAAAACGGACTCCTTAGTCCACTTTCCCTGGAAAAATCCCTATGAAATCACTTCACGGATTCCCTAGGGAGTTTAGAGGGAGTCCCTAGGGATTTCTCAGGGAGTTCCCAAAAACCAATAAATGCTTAATTCGACTCCTGTGCTCAATTTTAAGCATAATTTCGCTTTTTTTTCATCGCCTTTTTATCAAATTGAAATTTATTTTATATAAGAAAGAGTACCACGTTCTTTTAAATTCTTGCTCACCTGAGTCACCCAGTGAATCCCGTCCAGTGGACGAGTCACTCGGCTAAAAAGTTAACTCACGTAGAAAGGGCAAGTTAACGCCGACGAGTCTCAGGCGGAAGCAGCTACACTTATCTAAAAAAGAATGAAACTAATCTAAAAACAGAGATGTTCTTGTTTAAAGTTTTTATATACTTCTGCAGACGCAAAACTAAACGATGAATATGTTGTACATTCCCCCTAAGAAATCTCTAGAAATTTACTAGTGAATTATCAGGAATAGAGATGTGCACGGGTACCATTTTCGTACCCGTACCAGACCCGAAAATCTTTTTTCCACCCGTACCCAACCTTCGGATCGGGTCGGGTACCGATCGGGTTGCATACCTCTAACCGGGAACTTCATTATTTCTCCCCACTTCCTGAAAATCAGAGATTTTACAGGAAATCTCTGAGAACTCACTAGAGATTTCATGTTTTTTCGAGGATTCACCGATAGAGGCCAGCGAGATCAAACTTTTCTGGTTCTGGTCCCACGAAGACTTGATCAGGAAAAGTGGACTAGGGCTTTCACAACGACCAATTTTATGTTGATTATGCGTATCCGTTAAGAAATCTTTATTTGACTTTATGAATGTTCGTTGCCGATTATACTCTTTTCTGGAAGACTCATGCGACATCTTTCTAATGGTACCATTTCATTTGGCTTTAATGCTGTGTGATAACTCTAAAACCTCATGAATATTGTCACATGCACGATTAAGAGTGATAAATTTTATTTTCTAGTTTTGCACATATATTGATCCATCTAGACATACGTAGTCTAGACGACCGATTTCTCATGATTTGCTCTACCAAATAACCAATCGTCTTATTGCCAGACAAACAAACAAATAAAAACAAACAAATAATCAATCGCGAGAGATAAAATACATCTAACTGTTGTATGAAAAAAAGCTAGAGTATAAAGATTGGTATCATTTATCTATCTGCAACACTTCTCCTACAAAAATTGCTTCACTTTTTGTCATAAATTTCAAACCAATGAAAAAATGATACCATGGTTTCACAGTTCAAAACGGTATCTTGGTTGTAACAATGTCACACTCTATTAACATAACATTATCACTGAATTGTAGTTTAAATTTTGGTATGATGCTACGCTTTTGCCGTGTTTCTTTTGCAGTGTTTTTCTTATTAAACGTTCTTTTAGATAACTTAAGCTCTTGAATTGTGTTTTAAAAAGGTGTCTTATTTATTTAGCAACTCAAATCTTTGTGTAGTGTATGATTGTCAACTTGACTGAGTAAGCTATCCGATAAAAATAAACGCGAAGAAGTGTGTGAGGCATACTGTAACTATTCTGACACTATTCGGAGAATTGAGCTGTCTTCCGCTTCGTAGACGGAAAACGCAAAATACAATGTTATTTTAACTGATTCTGTAAATGAGTTATTTAATTTTCTGTAAAAATAGACAAAGAACAATTATTTTACACCGATTTCAGAAATCAGGTGGTTTAACAAGATAAGATTCAATAAAAATAAAAGAATAAAATAGAGTAAAACTGAATCTAAAGCAGTATTAAAGGTTCGCGCTCGAGTCAGTCTTCTGTATGACAACAGAGAGGTAAGGTTAGATTTGTTTCTATTTATGTCTGAGCCTAGCTGCTTTAACGAGTTTTAACCGCGAATATTTGTCTAGGATATGCGATTCATGTAATTTAATTCAGCCAAAAGCTATCCTGGAAAGCAAAGTTCACGATTTTCTCACAAAAATTTAGACAAAATTATGACTTAAAAGTGGAATTGAATTTTCTCAAAGAAGCATTTAAAATTAATGTGAATCAACTGCTGATGATTGATTAGTGAAAAATGAGTTGATTGCTGCTGAGTTTTGTTCTAAATCTGCGTAGCCTAATGAAATTCTTCGCGAATCTTTTTTTCATCCGAGTTTTAATCGTCGACACCACTGTTCGATTACACTCATTTTGTTAGTATACGCTTCTTTCGCCAATGTCTATAGATTTTCTATTCCCTTCCTTTTCCATTTGTCCGCTTCGTTATCATAAATAGTGAAATTTTCAAGTTCTATTTTACGGTTGTACCTAGAGACATAGTGTTTGGCTAGGAGTGAATTTAATTTGACCAGATTGCATTCTTCATTGATTTTATTAATATTTATCGAGTGTACGCGTTCGATGAGGTTCATTTCTTGCTGTTTTATTAACTAGAATATAAGGTACGGAATGTTGAGTATACGTTTGAATATTATTGTATTTTGTATTTTCCAACGTTGTTTCTAACTTTTTGATCAGGGTATTCTTAGATTAGTATCCTGCAAGAAATTGGTGTAATCAATCATTTATACAGCACATTTCAACAGCAAAAAGAGTTTTCTTGATAGCCTGCAATTAATGTGTCCGTGGGATGATCGTGTGATTTTTCAGTCTAAAGAAGGAAGTCCATTCTATAATATTGTCGTTTAAAAACAAAATTATCTTAATTATTGATGTAATTTTCTGGGAAAACATGTGATTTCTGAATGTATTTTCTCGATATATTGGTCAAATCTCATTCTTTTCACTAACATTTTCCGTTAGACAGACAGACAAGATTTCGAAAAATCTGATAAACTTAAATTCTTCCTTCAACATTTGACCATTCTATTACCTCAAACAATCAGATGGTCAATTTTTGACATATGGAATAGTAGTTATCTCTAATTAGTATTTGAAAATTCTCTCATATGTAATAGAGTTCATGATTCTAGACAATTCTGTCATTTGGTATAGTACCAAAATCAGCCTCTGAGAGATAGTAAAAATTTGTATCTAAAAACCCCGATTATCTCAACGGTATGCTTCTTTTTATTCTAATACATGAACATAGAAAACAAAATTTTTTTGTGCATAGGTGATTGTGTGTTAAATGAGTTTAAACGTATGTTTAAATAATGAGTTCAAAAAAAAAAAATTATACAGTAGAAAGAGAAAAATCCAGACTACAGAATTTTTGAATTAATTATCTTTTAACTTGATTAACAATGATTTGTTAATTAAAACTTGATGTCTAGGAATGAACTATTCTTTGTTGCCCTAAGCTTAAGAGTGAAGTGTCTCTTTTTACTCTAATATGAAATGTGATTTTATTCTATACTTCGCATCCGTTCTATACTCTATTATATGAATGCCATGAGATCACCTCAATGAAAAAAAAAATCTTCAATATTTTTAAACTAGGCATAAAAGATCAAATATCTAATTCTTGTTTTAAAAATGTATGCAATAAAGATTGTTTGTTTTTATTAAAAACAAAATCTATTCTAGAGGGAAAAAAAAATTTTTTTGTTCTCGCCTTCTCTGACAAAGGTGTTTCATCCCTAGAATAGATATTTCTTACACCATTTAATCCTTTTGACGTGGCGATATTTTATATTAATTCAATCATTGGACGTTAATCTTGTGTATGTAATCAATATTTCGGGATATTTGTTGTACATGTTTGACGACAAGTGAAAGAAAGAACAAAAGAAAAGAGAGAAAGAAAACATTGTTAATTTTTAACCACAACTGTTATATACACATGCCTACATTAGTTTTCGATTGTAATTAATAAACATGTGAGTACATGTATACGATAGACGAAAAAAAAACGTTGTTCATATGAGATATTTGTAGGAGATTTGAGTAAGAAAATGAACAAGAGTGTCTATTTTATATCTCGGTGCCTAATTGAACTCTATGAGATAATAATCAATTTTCTATTCCTTTTCTAAATGTTTCTCTTCTATTTGTTTGTTTATTTCGTTAGAAATAAGATGACCATATCCCAATTTCATATTAATCATTGAAACAAGTTTTTTTTAAATGTTTATCAATCGATGTATGAAATATAAATAGTTTTTTTTATTTATTTTGTTTAGTTCTATATTTCTATTATGTGATATTTTCAAATTTTCTAGATATTTATAAGCAGAGATAAATCAATAATGGGTCGTTTCGATAGTAGTAAGTTTGTACCCATTTATATTTATATTTAATTTTTACATTGCAGTTTCTTTCGTCAAACAGTTTCTACTGATCCACCAATTGATGTTTTTCATTTAACCGAATTATTTGAGAATGATGGAAATCCATCTAAAGTTAATTTGGGTGTGGGTGTATTTCAAGATGAAAATGGTAAAACACCAACATTACCTGTTGTTCGTTCTGTTGAACAATCAATGGCTCAAGATTTAACATTAGATAAAAATTATTTAAAATCTGTTGGACTCGATTCATTTTGTCAAGCATGTTTAAAATTAGTATTAGGTGAACAATCATCATCAATTATAGAAAATCGAGCATGTTCAATACAAGGATTATCTGGTACTGGTTGTTTAACAATTGGTCTTGAATTTTTATATCGAAATGGTTATAAAATTGGATACATATCATCACCCACTTGGAGCAATCATCTTTCCATTATGCAAGCAATTGGATTTGATGTTAAACGATATCGATATTGGAATAAAGAAAAATTAAATTTAGATATTGATGGTCTACTACAAGATTTACAAGATGCACCTGAAAATAGTGTTATTCTTTTACATGCCTGTGCTCATAATCCTACTGGCTGTGATCCAACTCGTGAACAATGGCAACAAATATCAGATGTGATTAAACAACGAAAATTATTTCCATTTTTTGATTTTGCTTATCAAGGATTTTCTACCGGTGATTTAGATCAAGATGCATGGCCAATACGTTATTTTGCTGATCATCAAAAACATGAACTATTAGTAGCACAATCATTTTCAAAAAATTTTAGTTTATACAATGAACGTGTTGGCCATTTAACTGGTGTTTTTTCTTCAAGAGATATTATACCAAAATTTCGTTCACAATTAACAACAATTATTCGACGAATTTATTCAAATCCACCTGCTCATGGTGCACATATTGTAGCAACAATTTTATGTAATCCAACATTATATTCGGAATGGAAAAATAATGTGAGAACAATGTTCGAGAGAATACAATCGATGAGACAATTATTTTATACAAAACTAAAACAATTGGGTAAATATTACACTTAAGTAACATATACAGTCTACTCTGCATTGTCTTCTTTTATTTCAGGCACACCGGGTAATTGGGATCATATTATAACGCAGGTTTGTAGTTCAATTTCTTGTTTAACATAATTCTGTTTGTATTCCAGGGATAATGGTCTAATTTATGGGCTCTAGAGACATGAAAGTGTTCAATGAAATGCATCAGTTGTTTTAAAATAGAATAGATAACGAAAAATGTCAAAGAAGAAATTTCTGAAAAATTTTATCTTTATTTGTTGTTATCTATTTGTGATAATGTTTTTTTGTTTTAATTGATTTTCTAATTTTTTAGCATGGAATGATTGCATTTACTGGCTTAAATCCTCGACAATGTCAAACACTCTTACAACAACATCATATCTATTTAATGAGTGATGGAAGAATAAATATTTGCGCAATTACTCAAAAAAATATTGATCAAATATCAAAAAGTTTCTATGAAGTTATCACAACGGTGGCAGATGATCCTAAATTATAACAAAAATAAAAGTTTCCATTCCTACATTGTCATATACAAACAAAATACATTTATTTTTTTACGCACAGTTTTGTAGTTTTTATACAAATTGCACAAATTTAGCCAAATATATATATATATAGGGAAAATAATAGTAACTTGTTTTGTTTCATAATCAGAAATGCATGTCTTAATCTGTGCGGGGTGAGCATGTTTTGATTTGCATGAACACTATTTAAAAATTCTTATGGGCTAAAATGAGTTACATCGATTCCAAAACTACCTGCTCTATATAACATTATTTTTCTAACAAAATAACATAAATATATTCATTAGCATGTATATCCATATTTTGATATTTTTACCTGGAAAAAAATTTGTTTAAAAAATAATTGCTTCATTCAAAAAAGGTCATTTTTGGTGAAGGGTGACTTTTTCTTTTGAAAAAATTTGACTGATAATGTATTTGTCTGGTGACTATATAGTTAAGTAAGATCAAAATCAATTCTCTCCTTTCTTTTTTTCTTTTTTTCGTCAGGTCTATTCATATCTTCTTTCATTGTGTTAAATATTCTTTTTTTTTACTTTTTTTCTTACGTTTTACTCATACACACAAAAATTATATATGCTCATTGCTTCATTATATTTTCTGGACTAAAGTCGTATTGACAGTGACAGAGAAAAAGTGAGAGTGACAAAAAAAAAAAAAAAAAAAACGGAAAATTTTTTTACATGAAGAATATAGATCTTGTACTAATCATAATTTAGTCTATTCAATTCATAGTGACAGGTTTTTTGTTGCTCGATCTACACTGTACAAAATTAAAAAATCGATTATAATCATTATAACTATTTAGACATGAGTTACAGCTGTGGTATGTGTATCAGACTCTAATAATTATAAAAATTAGTCTACCTCTTTTTTCTTTTTTTTCTTTTTTTACTAGACGAAAGAGAGATTTAAACTATCATAATAGACATGTGTTCATATTCAGGGTCTAAATTAAAATTTTTAAATAACAGATCATTTCAGATATATATATTCGTCTTGACAGAAGTTGAACTAGTATTAGAAATTCTTTTCGCATATTCTTTATTATAAACAAGTGGGGGAATTGAACATGATGAAGGAGAAGGAATTTGAGATAATTGAAAATTTCTCTAGTTTCTGTCAAAAGAAAAGCTTTTTACATCTAACAACAAAAATTTTTTTTATCTTAATTGACTATCCAGATCTTATTTGTGGCCGTGATGATCTATTTCATCTGTTTTTTTCAAAAACACTCAATCGTTTATATTTCTTCTCCCATGATTGATATATAAATTTTATAAAAATAAATCATTTTGTACTGATTCTTTACTAACGCTTAACTATTGCGCGTGTATGTGTATTACGATAGAACTATGTATGTATGAGATCATTATGTATAGGTGCAAGAAAATATTCTTTGTTTTTTTTTTCTTGATGACATTCTCTCTTTACGCGCTATATGGGACAATTTTTTCTGTTCAATATTGAAGAGAGGGTATATAGTTTATTTGCACAGTGTGTATATACATGTTACGTGATTGTGATTGAATTATATAAACACATTCTATCTATTATGAAAAACAATTTTGTCCAAATGGAAAGATGATGACATCATGTTGAGAGAGTTGTTGTTGATGACCACCATTACCATCATCAATACTTCGAAGAGTCACTTATTAGGATAAATGCCCTTAGAATTGATATAAACATGATATTTACTTCTTTTTGTCTCGAGGTACAAAAATCTTATTTTTGTTGACTATTAAAAAAAAAAAAAAAAAAAAAGGAAAAAAAAAGAAGAAGAAAAATGTTATCGAAAAAAATGGTACAGATGAGTATGGATACTCATTCTATCGTCTCGCAAAGGACAATAATAAATAATATGAGGAAAAAGGAAGAATTTTTTTTTTGTAAGTCAGGGTCGATGGTTGTTGGTATGTGTATGTGTCTAAGGATGAGGCGTGTGAGAAAATGATTTTAATCCGTTGACTTAATCCTTGAATATGAAAAAAAAATAAGATGTTATCATCTACACGTGATTACACATATATTATCATCGATACATGAGAGTTTCTTTATCTCTGTCATACAATGATGATTTTAATTGATACGAAAACAAATATAAGTAGATAGCATTATGGTGCTCTTAGTTTCGATTAGAATGTAAAAGTAAATGGGTAAGTATTTTTAAAGTAACGATAAGAGATAGAATATTAGAGTTCGAATAATAATGAAAATCTGCCATTTTCTATTAAGTTTTAGTATCTCTGACAGACAATTGATCTTTTTCTTCATTCTATAAATAAGAGTATCTTCAAAAAGTCAAGGTAGCTAACATAAACTTCTATTTAATGATATGAAATTTCTTTTTACTTAGAAATATTTCACGAATTCATAGAGAAAAAAAACCAACTACAACTAAGTGAAAACCATTGATAATCTCTAGATAGTTATCAGAATAATTTATCCATAATTTTTACTAGAATGCTAATTTAACTTCTAGAGAGAAACAAATGATTAGTAAGAATCTGAAAAATGTTATTTTTTATGTAAATGATTTAGTATGTGAAAAGTGGCACTCTTTAATGAGAAAATATCGAAATAGTTTTCTACAGTGACAAGTAATATTGAAAGAAAAAAAAACAACTATTTAATTAAACAAAAAAGAAGAAATGATAAAAAATGTCATAAAAACTAGATAGATAGACATAAAACATTTTAAATATTTGTTTTAGGTTGAGCTTCAATAAAATAAAATAAAAACTTGTTTTATTCACTGTTAAAAGCTATTTTTTTGCTTTATCAAATAAATTTATCTGACGAATGTTGTTAATGTAAGCTTTTGATCATAAGGACTAGTTTTCTTTTTTATAAAAAAAAAAAAAAACGACTTACTAAGGGAAGATTGTTACTGAGATTGATTCTCTACTAAAAAAATAGTAATCATTCTTAGACTACTGGAAATGTTTGACATCATGAACGAAATATTATAAGTGTTATACTCGACAGGTGTAGTGATTTTCTGTTTCTTTTCTCTCCTATGTTTACATTGATTATTTATTATTTTTACTTGTATGTTAGAGCCGTTTTGCGCTTGAAAAAACTTTCATGAAATACCAGACAAAAAAATGTGTTTATTTTCTTCTGATACCTGAATAATAATAAAAATTTTGTCTGCTATTGCTGCTACTACTGATGTTGTGTATTTTTTTTTTGTTTTTTTTAATATTCGTCCTATGTTTTTGATGTGCGTGTGTAGTGCCGTACCCTACATCCACGTTTTTTGTTTCAAACAGATGAAAGAAAGTATTAATGTGAAAAAAAGCCGCATTTATGGTATTATTATAACAGAATACAATAAATATGATATAGTAGTAGAGACAGTATATGTGTCTATGTTTTCTTTCTTCTTCTGCATGTATATATATATATATATATATGTATGTATGTGTTCAGAATGAAGAAAGAAAGAAAGAAAAACATACCGCACTTCTTAACTGTACTGCACAGTGATGTGAGTCAGTTATAAGTACTCACTACTAAAAATTGATTAAGAAAACATATATACATTATTTTGTAAAGAGTAATTTGTTTGGGTCAAATACCTAGGTTTTTTTTTTTCTTCTTTTTTCTTATAGATTATTTTTCTCTCTTTTTGAAAACATCTATTTCTTTTCAAAATTATTGAAAATATGCCAATATTAGAAACAAGTTCTCATCAACATCATCATCCTCCAACTAGTTATACTAATAATCGTCATTCCTATACTCATCATGGTGTAGTTGATATACCTGATCCAACAGGTAATAATTTTAATTACTTTAACATTTGAAGATCTATATTTTAGAAATTTATTTATTTTTTTAGGTAAAATGCAATTAACACTCATTCTTCCAAATGGTGTACCTTCAACATTGAATGTTGATGCAAAGTAAGAAATAATAATCTCGATACAATTTTTCATTAAATATAAACTATTTTTGTTTTTTTTTACTAATTTTTAGTACACCAATGATGGATCTTCTTATTCAAGCTGCATCAAATCATAAATTAAATCCAAGTGGCTATTCGCTTGTTGTGTTAGATTCAAATAATCATGTTATTCAATTTAAACCGTCTCAAACAGTTGCACAAATAGGTGAGAAAAATGCATTTTGATGGAAGTTCATAAAATCGAATAATAGCATTTTTCACAAAGAACAGTCTACTATATTTTTTATGTAAATAAAATTTTTATATTAAAAGTACTAAATTTTAATTTTATAATATTATTTTAGTAAGAAACTGTCAACTTCCGCAGATAAACGGTAAACAAGCAAATCATCTTTTAACTTGAATTGCTTGCTTTGTTCTCTGTAAATGATATTTGGGCTGCTTGTGCTTTTTGCTTTCTGAATAAAATATTTCATTTATATATATATCGTCATTTTTTAGGTACTTCAACAATAAGTTTATTGCCAAAAGAACGAGAAGTATCAAAAGATAGTAAAACAACGTCAAAGAAAAATCAACCATTTGAAGTTTGTTATTTGTTAGAATATTTAGTACAATAATATAATAATTTTAATATTTAGATTACAGTCCGTTTACAAGTTAATTTACCTGATCAACAAAAAATTTTATTACGTGTCGATCCAACACTTCCATTGTATGAACTAAAAGAACAAATATGTAAACAAAAACATTATTCAGATACAACAAAATATACGCTAAGATTACCATCAAAATTACAGGAACCATTGTTGTTAGGTTTATCATTGGCTGAATATAAAACAAATGAATTAACGCTTGTGCATATTAAACATGGTAATATTTAACCAAATGGGTCTATCAAGAATAATATCTAAAAATGTTTTATATCATTCATTGTAGATGAAAGAACAGGAAATGGCGGTGAAAATCAACTTCAATCATTTGATAGACTTTATAGAACGAGATCGGGAAGTCAACCGCGCAATGAAACACAAAATATAAATCCAGATGATGCAGTACATACAACAACAGTAAAAGAGGTAATTTGATTATACTTCTCAACGTCCGCACAGTCTTCAATACAATCTGTTGTAAAAGTGATATTGCATTTGACAGAAAATAGAAATAGAAAAATAGGTTTCTTATAGCTGACAATCCTAAAAAGATTTTTTACATGCTTAATTACTAGATTTTGTATTTCTACCAATTTTTTTTTTGGAATTTTAATTCAATTTCTTCTAAAATACTGCTAATTACGAAACTTGTGTCAAAATCAATCTCTTTCTTTGTATTTTTAGCGTGATGTAAGCGGTGTTGTTAGTCGCACATTATCAACTCCCATAAATACTGTTCAACAATCTTCAACGTCTACTGTACCAATGCGCTCTTCACATCCTGTAACATCGCACACAACATTACATGCCTACTGGAATGATCCCAATTTCGATGCTCAGTCACAATCATCAACTACGTCTTCAACAACGAAAAAACGGCGCGCACCAAGAGCTCCTGGTTCGAGTGTTCCTTCGCCTCAACTTCAACAACATTCGTACAATAACAATCAACAAATGATTTATGTACAACCTTCACCAGTTGGTGTGCCTGTTTATCAACCGCAGTACGTTTATCAACATCATTATGTCCAAGAACAAGTATCGCCAGAACAACGCTATATACTAGCACATCGTAGTCAAGAATCGCTTGATGATAATAATAATTTAACAGATACCAGTGAACAAAATGGTGATGCAACGAGAAGAAAAAGAAAAGCACCAACGCCGGTCATACCATCGCAAGAAAAGAAAGAGGGTACTTTTGAATTTTATCAGTTGATTTAGACTTACTCTAGTGGTTTTTATTTGGCTCTGTTCTTCAGAAGATAATGTAATGTATAAGATAACTGTGTGTTAAATGTCATTTTAGACGGTACACAGCGTCCATCTTCAGCTACTCAACATCGTCTAGCATCGCCACCAGAAAATGGAACAACAATAGCTACTCAGACAGGTAAAACGCATCCATCCAGAGTTCTGATTCCTTTGCATGCCACCAGTTTTATTTTGCAGGCCTGCCACCTCCTGCTTCATCTGTTAATAATATGGAATCATCGACAGTAGACAATATAAGTTTAAGCGAGGAATTTCGATCTACTATTGAAATTGGTCAACAGGCATTTGATGAAGATGAAAAATTGAAGAAAACAAAAGGTGTGTGCGGTTTCACTCCAAATTCATGTTTTTGTCTCACAGCATGCTCGTAGATAATTTTACGACACTTTTAGTAAAAACTGCAGCACTAACAACATTTTCTGTTTAGTTCCAGATCATCAAAAGCAAAAGATTGAGTTAACGATTGTTGATGGTGCGAAGTTGTTGAATTTTTTAACTCAACAACAATCAGGAACTCCTTTGACAACTGCTGAAACTCGTCTTATAATGACAGATGCTTCTACACTTGATCGCGAACAGTTGTATAGTAAAGTTCAGAAAACACAACAACAAAATGAATCAACTTATTCAATGGTGAATGTGCAAGATGCGTTAATGTCACCACGGAAAGAGGAAGAACCAGAAGTAAGTCATTTCTCTAGCGCGTACGAATAGTGGCTTACTAAACGTTGTAGAAGTTGGTGAAGATTTTCTTTTTTCCAATTAAGCTATAGATATTATTGTTGAAATGAGTAAACAATGAACTAACGCATTAATTCGTACTCAAACGGAGGGAATTGCTAATATAGTGAGTTTTAGAGAATAATGGTGAATGAGAGAGAAATTCAGCAAACATCCGATTTCATATGTGATATACAATAAAGAGAAAGTATTCAAAATCTTTTTGTTATTTTAGAAAAATACTAAACCCATCGGTGACGCATTATCACCAGTTACTACTACAGAAACTTTAGAAAGTACTAATTATACAGCTGTTGATTGTATTCAACCAACTGCACAAAACGTGAATCAAGCTGTAACGGATGTCCATGCAATAGCTGATAATCAACAATCACCACCTGCTATTACATCGTCTTTACAACAACAACAACAAAGTGTCTCTCCTTCAATATTGCAAAAACAACAGTCCTCGGTCATTCCACAACAGCAACAACAAAAACGTGGTAAAGAGGTTAAGTCACCAAAAGCATCCAAAAAATCTCAGACAGTCGATGGACTAGTAAAAATAATGAATGATCATCACAAACGTGCTGACGAATATCGCGCATTACCAGAAACACAATCCTTATTGAAAGAAAAAATATCTCCTCCACCTCCTGCCAACACATTATCATCATTAAATGAAGAAAATGGTGGAGATGAAAAATTTTATTTTCGTGTAGCCAAATCACGTCATGGACGATTTGAAACGGATAACCGTGGATTCGTTAATCCGTCTGTTGCTGTCATTGATCCAGCTCCTGGACAGCAACAAGCAACCATTGATAATAATAAAGTGCATGATTATGCCAATAGAACACAATTACCTCGTGATATTCATCATCAGCAAAACCATCCACCTGCTCATTATTCGGCAATTGAATCACAACAACAACCGATACAACAAAGACCACCAACAAAAGGAAAGGCCGCCTATGAAATTTTGAAGAAATATGAAAAAGAAGATCAAGAAGAGCAACAAAAACAAGAGCCCATTGACACAGAGTACTTGAAAACAAAAATTGATAGAACGTCTCCGCCTGTTTTAACTACGGCAGACAAAACAATTATCGCTGAAAAAGATAAATCACCAACTCCGATACAGGTAATAATCTTCATCGACTATATTAGAGATACTAGTTGAAAGATTTTCAGAAATTCTGTTAACTGGAAAGACATTTTTGCCTTCTAGTCATAAATCATGTTTGTTTTTTAGCTTGAAGTAACAGAACGTACGACACACATTAAAGTCACTGTTGAATCAGATCGTAAACAACTGATTACTCGTGCAAGTCCGGGTCCCATTGGGCCACCACCATTAGCTCCAAAACCATTTGGAAAAACAATCACTGAATATCGAACAGTCCGACGTATTGGTAATGGTAGTGGTCAACAGTCAACAAATCAATGTACGGAAATATCGACAACGGTTCAAACGAAGAATTCAAATACACCTGAAAGCGGTACAAGTACAAATTCATCACAAGAGACACTCATGGATTCTATACGAAAATTTGGTGGAAGTCAAAATTTAGGCAAGAAAAGTCAAACAAAATGAATGATGGAGAGGCGAATAACTAGTCATAAATACTACATCGAAATTTTTTTCTATTTCCGGTGCTGCACATATTTTTACGTTTTCATTTTTTTTTGTTCTTCAAAGTAACTTTTTTCTCTTCTACAGCTGAACAGTTATCGATTCTACAGCAACAACTATTACTATATGAAATAACGATTAACATTAATTGCTGAATTTATATGTATAGTTCATCTTTTTTCAATTTTTCCTTTGTTTGTTTCTATATTATTTTTAGTTTATTCGTTGTGGTTGCTGTTTGTTTGCATTTCTCTATTGTTCTTTTTTCTCTAGTAGTTGTTCTAAAAGAAAAATTATGCTGTCTAAACGTTTTTTTTCTAAATAATCAATAAAAATAAATCATTTTCATATTAATTAGAAAAACGTCAGTAGAATACAGCTTACCTTAATTAATACTTGTTCACGGAGTTAAAATGCATAGAAGACTAGACGATCTAACGAGGGAGCCTCTTTAGGTTATAAATCGCTTTTGAACCCGTACTACTTGTATCTTGTAGACCTCAGTGAGTAGTGAAATACTCTAAATTGGTTCATCCCCGTGGTACTTTGTTGCTAAGATATTGAAGCTTTACTCAGTTTTTGCCTACAGAGCTTGGATTTCGAACAAAATCCGATTTTTGAATTTTGACTTCAAATTTGCCACACTGGTAGCCCATGGTCATACTAGTACGACGGAAAAATATGCGGCTCTAATGAGTTTTCCTGCCTTGAGATATTGAGACTCGAACATTTTCCCTAAAGCGAAGATGAGGGTCAAATATTCGAGTCTCAATATCTCAAGGCAG